CATAATTTTGGGGATTTGTGTGGGAGTAAAAGGAAGATAATTTGGCACAGTAAAAGAACATACAGACATTACCTTTTGATTTGTGGAATAAAGATAAGATATTTACAGAAAAGTGGCGTCACCTAAAAATCGTATTATCATTGTTCTTTCGGTACCAAGTTCCCCAAACAACTCATGTAGTTGCATATAGGCCTACGAGCCTGCCAAATGTCATTTCGGTAAAGCTTTCAATTGGTTGTTTGCCTATCTTATTGATAATAATTTAATTTACTTTAAATAGATTGAACACTTCGTCCTTGTACACCCAAAATGAAAGAAAACTGATCGAGACAAAAAAAAATAAAGTTGTGATAATCTGTCACAAAGGAGAACTGAACCCTGAGACATGAGATATTTGAATAATATGAAAATCAGGACCAGTTGGATAAAAAGATTTAAGGCAAACAACAGGGATAATTTCAGAGCAAATAATTTCAAAGGTGAAGGAACAGAGTACAGAGACTTATAATAGGAAACAAAGGCAAGTCACATTGCACAAAAATCCGAAGAGAACAAGAATAACCCTAGAATGAAGTGCTCTGGCAACAACTAAAACAGTTTGAGTATAGCCATAAAGCCAGAAGATATATCAACATATTACTAAATTTCGATAGCGAGGTAATGCCAACGAAACAACTAAGGGTTCCAAACGTTTTAATTCATAAAACAACACAAATGTCTACAACAAACACTAGTAAGTAAACCAGCTGCACTCAAATCCCATCACAGAGACATTGGTAAGTTTCAAACAACTATACAAAAAAGGGTAACCCCAAACAGTTTTCTCAACAAGTAAGTGGTTATTTATTTATTTAATTTTATTTATTTAATAAATTTGAACAATGATACAGGTGGGAAAAAAGAAAAAAAGTACAAAGGAATACAGTTATTACAGTGCAACATGCCAAAGTTCCTTGTATACAGAGCCATATATGAGCAGCTTATAAATTACTTAAGTTAACTAAGCAATGATATATTCAGTGGTTAAAAACTATTATTGTAAACAGTAACAATTTAGCACAAATGAGAATTACAAAGACAGTCATCATTGTCATTTAACGTGTCTAGCTGAAACATTCAAGAGAATGGAGTATTTTTAGGAAGTGACTGACACCATGCCAAACCCCTTGGATAGGTGCCTGAGCCGAGCTTTGCTCTAAGCTTCATTCATTTGCCCCTTGAGGGGATGAGAACAAGAGCTAGCTTGTGGTAGAACTGGATTGGTCCCAAAGATGAGGTACTTGTGCATCCACATGGAGATTAGTCTAAACACCCTAAAGAGGGAGCCAAGGCCGGGCCACCACTTGGAAAAGGCCCGGGCCGGGAGAATACCGGCTAATCTTTAATAATAATAATTAGGAAATGTAATTAAAAAATAAAGTTTGATTGGGTCACAGGTTAGAAATTTATGAGATACAATAATGAGAAGCATTTATGAGATACAATTTATGAGATACAATTATTCAGTATTTATTTAGTTGTGGGTGAGTAAGTGATTTTTGAGAAGAGACTTGAATTTATAAACAGACAGTGTTTCTTTTATATTCACAGGTAATGAATTCCAGATTTTAGGGCCTTTTATGTGCATTGAGTTTTTGCATAGCGTGAGATGGACTCGAGGAACATCAAAGAGTGATCTGTGCCTTGTGTTATGGTCGTGTGTTCTGTTGAGGTTGGTAAGGAGACGTTTGAGGGGAGGGTTTATATCAGAATTGAGTGTTCTATGAATGTAGTAGGTGCAGTAATAAGTATGGATGTTTTGTATGGTGAGTAGGTTTAGAGTTTTTGAATATTGGTGGAGTGTGCTGCCTGTAGTGGGAATTTGTTATCATTCTGGCTGCAGCCTTTTGTTGGGTAATTAATGGTCTGTGATGGTTTATCGTTGTTGAGCCCCATGCACAAATTCCATAGGCGAGATAGGGGTAAATAAGTGAGTGATATAGGACCAGGAGGGCTGACTGTGGAACATAGTACCATATCTTCGATAGTACGCCCACGGTCTTGGAATTTTTTTTGGAAATTTGTTGTATATGTGTTTGAAATTTGAGTCTGTTATCAAGGTGGATTCCTAAGAATTTTCCCTCTGTGAGTTTTGTATCTCATGACTTTGTGCATTAAGAACTAAGCAGGTTAAACCCTACTAAGAGCACCGGCCCAGATAACATCTCATCTAAGTTCCTAAAAGATGGTGCCTCTGAATCGCCAGTTACCATTGCTCACCTAACAAATTTGTCCATCACCACTAATGCCGTACTGGAAAAGTTCAAGGAGGCCAGAGTTACTCCTATTTTCAAGAAAAAATAGTAGGTCTGATGTAAGCAACTATAGGCCTGTTAGAATACTCAGTGTAATATCCAGAATTCTAGAGCGGGCGGTGTACTGTCAAATAGTTAAGTATGTGTGTATGAGTGTGTGTGCGTGTGTGTGTATGAGTTTGTGTATGTGTGTGTGTGTGTGTGTGTGTGTGTGTGTGTGTGTGTGTGTGTGTGTGTGTGTGTGTGTGTGTGTGTGTGTGTGTGTGTGTGTGTATGTGTGTGTGTGTGTATGAATTTGTATATGTGTGTGTGTGTCTCAACAATCAATATTTGCACCAATAACTCACTACAGTTGTGACCGGGTGTGGAAGTGTGAATTGCTCATTACACTATAATTTGTTCATGATTGTAGCCATGTATAAACGTAAGTAACCATTCTTACAGGATTCATTACCTTTGTAACTTGTGAGTTCATTACCTTGTACCTATTTCAGCCATCACAACTTTGGGAGCCCAGTCCCTGGACCCATTACGTACCTCTATAATCTGTAAATACCTTTGTAACTTGTCATGATTGTGACTAGACCTACCTGGAGTTCATTACCTTTGTAAATTGTGAGTTCATTACCTTTGTAAATTGTGAATTCATTACCTCTGTAACTTGCTCAGCTATCAAAACTTTGGAGTCCAGTCCCTGGACCAATTATGTACCTCTGTAATCTTTTGACTACCGCCCACAGGATGGGTATGGGGTGCATAATAAACATATTAAACTAAACTAACCTTAATAACAACAACATTCTCTATAGTTACCAAACAGGTTTTAGAAGATCTTACTCAACCGACACTTCCCTAATTAATCTGATGGATTACATGAGAATTAAAATGTCGATAGGGAACCTCATAGGAATGGTAACCTTAGACTTGCAAAAGGCCTTCGATAATGTCAACCACAGCATATTATGTAAGAAACTTCAAGTTATAGGCATTGGTTCTGTACACTGGTTTAAGTCCTACCTTAGCAACAGGAGACAAATTGTCAAAAGAAAACAAAAACAGAATTAAAATCTTGCCGATAACATGTGGATCCCCAAATGTAGTATTCTGAGTCCCTTATTATTCCTTTGTTGTGTTAATGACACATCCATCAGTGTTAAGTGCAAACTCCAACTGTATGCAGATGACAGTGCTCTGTTAGTGTCAGGTAAAGACCCACAAGATATAGCTAACACAAGAGCTGGATCCTGCGCAATGGTTAGTAAATACAAATTATGTTATGCCTCGAAAAACTGAAGCCATACTCTTTGGCTCGAAACATAAACTGAAAATGGTAAATAATTTTAAATGGAAAAACAATGAGGAAATGGGGGAAACCCCATCACCTCAGTTCCTCAATAAGATATCTGGGAAAATCCATGCATGTCAGGAGAATTGATAGAGACATTTGTAGTTAAAGAAAGTGAATGCAAAACTGAAGTTCCTTTTACAGGCAAGCACAGTGTCTACCAAACGAGGCTCGCAGGACCTATGCTAGCCCTTATACAATGTCATATGGACTATGCTTGCTTTTCCCATTGTACTCGGGCCTTGACAATAAAAACTGAAAGATGGACTGCAAACCCACCCAGAACAAAATGGTAAGATTCATCCTGGGGCTGGATCCAAGAAAAACAGTGGGCCAGGATGAATTACAAACAACTGGATATGCTGAATGTTGAAGACAGAGTAAAAACTGAAGTTAAACCAAATTTATAAAATTGCTCACAATGTCCAGAATATCTTGCTGCCAATTCTGTCAAGGCTGAGAACCAAAGTAATCATAGTACTAGGGGACAGAGCAAAATTTTGTAGTACCCACAGTTAGTGGTCAAGCTTCAAACACCTTTTATTGTATATCAATAAGTGAATGGAACAGATTGCCCGCATATATCAAAGCCAGTCATAGTATGAACCAGTTCAAGAAGAGAGCCAAAAGGTGTCTAATGAATATAGCTACAGAAAGGGAGGAGAATGTTTTTTTAATTTTTTTTAGCTAACACACATATAGTCTTCCCTTATTCCTAAAATATATCCTTTACAGCGTAATAATAAGATATTATCACCATTATATTATAACAGTAAGGTAAAAGGACCCAAATGGAAATAAGTCACTCTGACTTTTTTAGGTTATCCCAGGTACTTTACACATATGCTGCTATGTATGATAATCTATGTAACTTTATTTGTGTATACCTGAATAAACTTACTTACTAATTATTTCAGAACAACAATACCACAGCAGAAAGGAAGACTTGAAGAATGCCTGTGCTTTACACCGAAACTTAAACAACCACTCAATCAACTACAAAGACCAAGATTCATTGCCAGGGAAGGGAAGACACTTAGAGACACCAAGATCTTAGAATCATTCTTTTTTCTTTATATCCAACAATTTCAACCCCAACAACGACTTTTACAACATAGCTCAACCCCTTGTCAGTAACTTCATCATTATCCTACACAGCACCAAACCTACTTGCCATTCCGTCACTATCTCGTTATATAAAAACCAAGTACCCTATGCTCAGGTAGATCTTTTTTGTTACTAGATAACCACTCACTGTGTGCCAAAAATATTGTCAAAAAAACCCACTGAATTTTATTATGAGTTTGTGTCTATTTTAAACTGTTTATCTTCATCAGGAAGTTGAGCTGGATAAAGTGTAACTGAGAGTCGCCCTTAACAACCCAACAACAACAACAAGTTTGAACTGCACAGGTAATAGACGGAGTGTTAGACAGGTAATAGACGGAGTGTTGGACAGGTATTAGACGGAGTGTTGGACAGGTATTAGACGGTGTGTTGGGAAACAGGTATTAGACGGTGTGTTGGACAGGTATTAGACGGAGTGTTGGACAGGTATTAGACGGAGTGTTGGACAATTTATTAGACGGAGTGTTGGACAGGTTTTAGACGGAGTGTTGGACAGGTATTAGACGGAGTGTTGGACAGGTATTAGACGGTGTGTTGGACAGGTATTAGACGGAGTGTTGGACAGGTATTAGACGGAGTGTTGGACAGGTATTAGACGGAGTGTTGGACAGGTTTTAAGACGGTGTGTTGGACGGGTATTAGCGGAGTGTTGGACAGGTATTAGACGGAGTGTTGGACAAGTATTAGACGGAGGGTGTGGACAGTATTAGACGGAGTGTTGGACAGGTATTAGACGGTGTGTTGGACAGGTATTAGACGGAGTGTTGGACAGGTATTAGACGGAGTGTTGGACAGGTATTACACGGAGTGTTGGACAGGTATTGACGGTGTTTGACAGGTATTAGACGGAGTGTTGGACAGGCATTAACGGAGTTTTTGGGTAGGTATTAGCGGAGTGTTGGACAAGTATTAGACGGACAGTTGACAGGTATTAGAGGGGACAGTTGGACAGGAAATTAGACGGAATGTTGGACAGGTATTAGACGGAGTGTTGGACAGGTATTAGACGGAGTGTTGCACAGGTATTAGACGGAGTGTTGCACAGGTATTAGACGAAGTGTTGGACAGGTATTAGACGGAGTGTTGGACAGGTATTAGACGGAGTGTTGGAACAGGTATTAGACGGGGGTTTGGACAGGTATTAGACGGAGTGTTGGACAGGTGTTAGACGGAGTGTTGGACAGGTATTAGACGGAGTGTTGGACAGGTATTAGACGGAGTGTTGCACAGGTATTAGACGGAGTGTTGGACAGGTATTAGACGGAGTGTTGGGCAGGTATTAGACGGAGTGTTGGAAAGGTTTATTAGACGGAGTGTTGGACGGGTATTAGACGAAGTGTTGGACAGGTATTAACGGAGTGTTGGACAGGTTTTAGACAAAAGTGTTGGGACAGGTATTAGACGGAGTGTTGGACAGGATTAGACGGAGTGTTGGACAGGTATTAGACGGGTGGTTTGGACAGGTTTAGACGGAGTGTTGGACGGTGTTAGACGGAGTGTTGGCAGGTATTAGACGGAGTGTTGGACAGGTATTAGACGGAGTGTTGGACGTATTAGACGGAGTGTTGGACAGGTATTAGACGGAGTGTAGTACAGGTGTTAGACGGAGTGTTGGACAGGTATTAGACAGAGTGTTGGACGTATTAGACGGAGTGTTGGGCAGGTATTAGACGGAGTGTTGGACAGGTATTAGACGGATGTTTGGACAGGTATTAGACGGAGTGTTGGACAGGTATTAGACGGAGTGCTGGACAGGTATTAGACGGAGTTTTGGGGACAGGTATTAGACGGAGTGTTGGACAGGTGTTAGACGGAGTGTTAGACAGGTGTTAGACGGAGTGTTGGCAGAAATTAGACGGAGTGTTGGACAGGTGTTAGACGGAGTGTTGGACAGGTATTAGACTGTGTTGGACAGGTGTTAGACGGAGTGTTGGACAGGAAATTAGACGGAGGTTGGACAGGTGTTAGACGGGTGTTAGACAGGTGTTAGACGGAGTTTTGGGGACAGGTATTAGACGGAGTGTTGGACAGGTGTTAGCGGAGTGTTGGCAGGTATTAGACGGTGTGTTGACAGGTGTTAGACGGAGTGTTGGACAGGTATTAGACAGTGTTGGACAGGTGTTAGACGGATGGTGTTCACAGGTATTAACGGAGTGTGGAAACGGGTGTTAGACGGAGTGTTATACAGGTGTTAGACGGAGTGTTGGACAGGTATTAGACGGAGTGTTGGACAGGTGTTAGACGGAGTTTTGGACAGGATTAGACGGAGTGTTGGACAGGTGTTAGACGGAGTGTTGGACAGGTATTAGACGGAGTGTTGGACAGGTGTTAGACGGAGGTTGGACAGGTATTAGACGGAGTGTTGGGCAGGTATTAGACGGACGTTGGACAGGTATTAGACGGAGTGTTGGACAGGTATTAGACGGACAGTTGGACAGGTATTAGACAGAGTGTTGGCAGGTATTAGACGGACAGTTGGACAGGTATTAGACGGATTTGTTGGGCAGGTATTAGACGGACATTTGGGAAACAGGTATTAGACGGGGTGTTGGGCAGGTATTAGACGGACAGTTGGACAGGTATTAGACGGAGTGTTGGGAAGGATTAGCGGAGTGTTGGATAGGTATTTGACGGAGTGTTGGACAGGTATTAGACGGAGTGTTGGACAGGTATTAGACGGAGTATTGGACTGGTATTTGACGGAGTTTGGACAGGTATTAGACGGAGTGTTGGACAGGTATTAGACGGAGAAATTGGACAGGATTTGATGGAGTGTGGACAGGTATTAGACGGACAGTTGGACGGAATTAGAGGGAGTGTTGGGCAGGTATTAGAGGGACAGTCGGACAGGTATTAGATGGGTGTATGGGAAGGATTAACGGACAGTTGGACAGGTATTAGACGGGGGTTTTGGGTAGGTATTAGACGGACAGTTGGACAGGTATTAGACGGAGTGTTGGACAGGTATTAGACGGACAGTTGGACAGGTATTAGACGGAGTGTTGGACAGGTATTAGACGGAGTGTTGGACAGGTATTAGACGGAGTGTTGGACAGGTATTAGACGAGGTGTTGGACAGGTATTAGACGGAGTGTTGGACGGTATTAGACGGAGTTTTGGACAGGGTATTAGACGGAGTGTTGGACGGTATTAGACGGAGTGTTGGACAGGAATTAGACGGACACTGAGAGTGACAGGGGTGTAAGTAAGGTTTATTTTTTCTCTCAATTGTAAGATTTAAGTCTGGTTTTATTTACTATTTTATAAGTGTGTTATTGAATTTGTGTTATAAAGCACTTAACACTTCGTAGTAAGTTTTTATTCAGGTAACACATATACACTTACATTATCTTTCATAGCAACATATGTGTCATTACCAGGATAACCCCATAAACACTCACTGACTTATTTACATAAGAAAGAAGGAACACTGCAGTAGGTCTGTTGGCCCATACTAGGCAGGTCCTTCACAACCCAGTAACTGACCAAAGTCAGTCAGGATGGAGCACTTCAGAGGGATGGAGCACTTCAGAGGGATGGAGGGACTTAAGAAGGGATGGAGCACCCTTTAGAGGGATGGAGCATTTCAGAGGGATGGAGCACTTCAGAGGGATGGAGCACTTCAGAGGGATGAAGCACTTAATAGGGATGGAGCACTTAATAGGGATGGAGCACTTAATAGGGATGAAGCACTTAATAGGGATGGAGCACTTAATAGGGATGGAGCACTTCAGAGGGATGGAACACTTCTGAGGGATGGAGCACTTCAGAGGGATGGAGAACATCAGAGGGATGGAGCACTTCAGAGGGATGGAGCACTTCAGAGGGATGGAGCACTTCAGAGGGATGGAGCACTTCAGAGGGATGGAGCACTTCAGAGGGATGGAGCACTTTAGAGGGATGGAGCACTTCAGAGGGATGGAGCACTTCAGAGGGATGGAAACACTTCAGAGGGATGGAGCACTTCAGAGGGGTGGAGCACTTCTGAGGGATGGAGACTTCAGAGGATGGAGCACCTCAGAGGGGTGGAGCACTTCAGAGGGATGGAGCACTTCAAGGGATGGAGCACTTTTAGAGGGATGGAGCACTTCAGAGGGATGGAGCACTTCAGAGGGATGGAGCACTTCAGAGGGATGGAGCACTTCAGAGGGATGGAACACTTCTGAGGGATGGAGCACTTCAGAGGGATGGAGAACATCAGAGGGATGGAGCACTTCAGAGGGATGGAGCACTTCAGAGGGATGGAGAACATCAGAGGGATGGAGCACTTCAGAGGGATGGAGCACTTCAGAGGGATGGAGCACTTCAGAGGGATGGAGCACTTCAGAGGGATGGAGAACGTCAGAGGGAATAGTAAGGTGATGACAGAGTAAAACAACTGAAGCTAAATCATGTTTATAAAATTGCTCACAAACAGTGTCCAGAATATCTTACTGTCAATTTTGTCAAGGTTGGGAACCAAAGCAGTCATAGTACTAGGGGGAGAGAACAATCATAGTACTAGGGGGAGAGAACAATCATAGTACTAGGGGAAGAGAACAATCATAGTCCTAGGGGGAGAGCACAACTTTGTAGTAGCCACAGTCAGTGGTCAGGCTTCAAACGCCTTTTATTGTACAGCAATAAAGGAATGGGACAGACTGCCCGCACATGTCAAAGCCAGTCATAACATGAACCAGTTCAAGAAGAGTGCCAAAAGGTGTCTGATGAATGTAGCTACAGAAAGGGAGGGGAATGATTTTCTATTTTTTAGCTAACATATGTGTAAATTTTACCTTATTCCTAGTAATGACCCTCGTATTGTAGATAGTCTTAATGACCCTCGTGTAGTAGATAGTCTTTTTAGTATGATAATAAGATGTTATCTCCATTATAGAATAATAATAAGATATTATAACCTTTATATTATAATAAAAAGGTAAAAGGACCCAATCAATCAAGAGGCCCAAGGATAATCATTGTCTCAAAAAACACTACATTATGATGTCTAGCATTTTTATAATTGCATGGTTTGTGCTTTTACTTGGTTTGAATCCAAACTGGCAGGGGTTGAGTATGTTGCATGATGATAGTAAAGAGTATAATTACTTGTGGATTAATTTTTCGAAGATTTTGAATAACAATAGAAGGTTAGATGTAGATTTGTAATTATTTATGTTGGGTGTGTCTCCTCCTTTGTGTATTGAGGTAACCCATGTTTTAAGTATTACTGGGATTGTGCTAGTTTCTGATGATTTGTTGACCACTGTTGCAATGGTGGATGAAAGCACATTAGCTGTTATTTTGATCAGTAGTGGTGGTATTTGTGCTAAGATTCCTTATTTATTTTTCAGTGAGTTTATTATCAAAGATACCTCAGATGGATCAGCTGGAATAAGGTAGAGGGAGTTCAGAAAACTTCCAACAAGGTAGTCACTTGCTCGAAGACTGGTAGAGAAGAAATCATCTAATATATTGACTGTTTCAGAAGGTTAGATATATGTATGGTTCATTTAGTTTGGTTAGGCCAGTATCTCTGGTTTTGGTGTTTTTTCCAGAACAAAGGATTTGTGGAAGTGTGTTCTAGGTGTTCTTCACATCACTTTCATTTCATTAACCTTCTAGCACAATAGAAACTGTTTAGACTTCCTTATTAGTTTTGGGAATACTGATGCATAGTGTTTGGTTTGTTCTTTAGTTATTAAGCCCAATTCGTTTCTGTTTTTCATTTGTTTTTATTTTATGAAAGGGCTTGAGGATACTATTTATTACCAGGGGTTTTCCCAGTCTTTACTGTGATCTGCTTAATTTTAATAGGGTAATGTCTACTGTAAAGGCTTTGTATTTTTTTTTTGGAGAAGAATCACCAGTGCTCCTGTGACCGTAATGTATGTGTGTGCCAGTTAATGTAACTTACGGGTGCAGTGAAGTTATTAATGATGTCTCATCATGGAAACAAAATGAGATCATATTATTTCAAGTGGTAGAATATATATGTTGGTTTATGGGGAAGGTGGGGTAGTGATTAGTAGCAGTGTCTGTGTTATCCCTGCTTTGAGAGGAGCTAAATTTTGTTAGTCCAGATATGGTCAGTTGAGGTTACACTTATCTTGTTGTTTCTTGTTGGTTTAGTTATTGCTGGTTATAGTTTGTTTAGTTATAGCTGTTACTTGAGAGTCCTTGGCTAGAACAAGGTTAAAGTTGAAATACTGATCACAATGGGGTAATCACAATGCTATGCTCTGTTTTTGAGAGAATACTAAATTGAAAGAGAAGAAATTGAACCTTTCACATAACTAGTTGTGTGAAGTTCAGGGATAGAAGAGGATGGTCCATGTGTGGCAAAATATTAGTCTCGAGAAATTGCAGTCTGTTCTATGGGGATGTGAGTGATCAGAGTGATCTTATTTCTTGCTCATGCTGATACAAACAAGTCTGGACAACAGTTCCTTGGGGTTCTTGAGGTGTGAAATTCTTACAGTTTTTAATAGTTTTGTTAAGTATCCAGTAAGTTTTCCCTGCTAGTTTCTATGGTGCACTTCCTATTGTAGATATGATGGGATAGAGAAGAATGATTCACTTTTATTATTGTAGGAAGATCTTAAATGAGTAAAAAGGTGAGGTAGAGGGAAGTTGGCAACAGAGTACAAGGTGAGGATTAGAGGGAAGTTGCAACAGAGTACAAGGTGAGGGGAATTAGAGGGAAGTTTGGGAACAGAGTACAAGGTGAGGATTAGAGGGAAGTTGGCAAAAGAGTACAAGGTGAGAATTAGAGGAAGTTGGCAACAGGTACAAGGTGAGAATTAGAGGGAAGTTGGCAACAGAGTACAAGGTGAGAATTAGAGGGAAGTTGGCAACAGAGTACAAGGTGAGACTCATGAAATCACAATGACACAATTTCAAGAAACCATACCATGGGCGGGTTAAGAACCGTGATCAGAGAGTCATAAAACTCCACACCCAAAGCATTAGCCACTGGACCAGCAAGTGACAATAAGAGTCATCCAACTAGGTATATTTATACACCATAGGAAGGTTAGCATAGGCACCACTGTGACTACAAATGCAAGTTTTTACAGACAAATCTCCAGCTAGTATGGTGCAGGTTCTAAACCCGCTTGTGGTATGGTATGTTTGCAATCGTGTCATTATGATTTCATGAGTCATGTTGATGGCTTTGAGGGAACTTAAGCTAGAGTTCATCATGCCCACCCTAGCTTTCTAGGTTGTTTTCAGGACTGGAAGTAGCTTGAAATTGACAAAAAATTTTCTGAGGACTGGTAAGGTCCCCCTAACCCCCTGCTCTGTTTTATGGGTTTTTAATAGTTCTGATTCAATTATTGGGATGCCATAAACCGTGACCAATAATTCCTGGTTATATTTTGTTATCCAAGAAATAGAGTAAATCTTTATTTTTTCTTCTTCTCTTTTTTAGTAAATGTCTACAGGAGAAGGGGTTACCAGCCCATTGCTCCCGACATTTTAGTCGCCTCATACGACACGCATGGCTTACGGAGGAAAGATTCTTTTCCCCTTCCCCTGGACAAATTTGAAGAAATAAAGAAGAACAAGAAACTATTTAGAAAAAGGAGAAAAACCTAGATGTATGTAATATAAAAGTGGACCCTGCATACCCTTGGCATTTACATAACGTTAAATCCACATACCATACATTTTTATCGCTAAGATTTTTTCCTCGCATACCGCTAAAAAACCCGCACAACGCTATTCGTCCGAGACGCGTCTAATGTGCGGCCTGAGCCAGCCTCACATGTTCCGCCGGTGGCATGTTTACAAGCCAGCCTCCGCGGTAACATCCAAGCATACAATTGGAACATTTCGTATTATTACGGTGTTTTTGGTGATTTTATCTTCAAAATAAGTGACCATGGGCCCCAAGAAAGCTTCTAGTGCCAACCCTGTGGTAAAAAGGGTGAGAAAATATTATCGAAATACTGTGGTACCATGGTCAACTGCTGATGCTGCTGCTGCTGTAGCACTGTCAGCTGCTGCTGCTGTAGCACCGTCAGCTGCTGCAGCACCGTCAGCTGCTGCTGCTGCTGTACCACCATCAGCTGCTGCCTGCTGTAGCACCATCTGCTGCTGCTGTAGCACTGTCAGCTGCTGCTGCTGAGCACTTCAGCTGCTGCGCACTGTCAGCTGCTGCTGCTGCTGTAGCACTGTCCACTGCTGCTGCTGTAGCACCATCAGCTGCTGCTGCTGCTGTTTCCACTGTCAGCTGCTGCTGCTACTGTAGTACCATCTGCTGCTGCTGTAGCACCGTCTGCTGCTGCTGTACCACTGTCAGCTGCTGCTGCTGTAGTACTGTCAGCTGCTGCTGCTGCTGCTGTAGCACCGTTGTTGGTATGGCTTATTGAGAATACCAAGAAACAATTAACCCCAGAGGGTTAGCCACCCAGGATAACCCAAAAAAGTCAGTGATTCGAAGACTGTCTAACTTATTTCCATTGGGGTCCTTAATCTTGTCTCCCAGGATGCAACCCACACCAGTCGACTAACACCCAGGTGAACAGGGAAAAATGCCTGGAACTAGTGCTCATATCGGTGAATTTAAAGCCAGCAAAGGTTGGTTTGAGAGATTTAAGAATTGTAGTGGCATACACAGTGAGATAAGGCCTGTTCTGGAAGAAAATGCCAAACAGGACCTACAGTACTCAGGAGGAAAAGGCACTCCCAGGACACAGTGTCTCATCAGTCATTGCTGCATCTTCAATAAAGGTAAGTGTCATTTATTCTTCATTTAGTAGAGTAGTACATGCACAATATATATTGTGCATGTACTACTCTACTATTGTGCATGTATCCTTCTCTTTGTGTGTTGGAAAATGTATATTTCATGTGGTAAAATTTTTTTTTTCATACTTTTGGGTGTCTTGCATGAATTAATTTGATTTCCATTATTTCTTATAGGGAAAATTCATTCGCATAACGATAATTTCGCATAACAATGAGCTCTCAGGAATGGATTAATATCGTTATGCAGGGGTCCACTGTATATGCATGTGCGTGTCTGTGAAGTGTGACCAAAGTGTAAGTAGGAGTAGCAAGATATCCCTGTTATCTAGCGTGTTTATGAGACAAAAAGAAACCAGCAATCCTACCATCATGCAAAACAGTTACAGGTTTCTGTTTCACAGTCATCTGGCAGGACGGTAGTACTTCCCTGGGTGGTTGCTGTCTACCAGCCTACTACCTATAGTGTGTATAAGTCTATAGTGGAAGGAAGGCAGGGTAGGGGTCGGCCTAGGAAAGGTTGGAGGGAGGGGGTAAAGGAGGTTTTGTGTGCAAGGGGCTTGGACTTCCAGCAGGCATGCGTGAGCGTGTTTGATAGGAGTGAATGGAGACAAATGGTTTTTAATACTTGATGTGCTGTTGGAGTGAGAGCAAAGTAACATTTTATGAAGGGGCACAGGGAAACCGGCAGGCCGGACCTTGAAGTCAGGAGATGGGAAGTACAGTGGCCTGCACTCTGAAGGAGGGTGTTCAGTTGCAGTTTTAAAAAACTTATGTAAAAGCACCCTTCTGGCAAGACCAGTGATGGAGTGATGATGGGGTGGATGTTTTTCTTCAGGCCCCCTGCCTTGGTTGGGAACGTCCAGTGTGATATAAAAAAAAAAATTATTTTGTGTGATATGAATTTAACATGGAAAGCAAGTTTAATAAAGAATATGGCTGAAATGTGAATAATGAATCAGGGAAATTTTGTTTTAGTGCCAAGAATATCTACATGAATATTCTGGTGAGACTGTGTTTTAAATTGTCATTTTTATTTTGTGTAAACTTGGCCAGATTACCGATTCTGTGACTTTATAAGATGTAGTTGTAATAGTTGAATGGCAGTTCTTTGTTCTTCAAACACTGACTTTTTGGGTCTCCCAGTTCCCTACACATAAACTGCTCTGTATGATAATCTATGTAACTATTTGTGTATACCTGAGTAAACTTACTAGTAATATTGAATTTGGTTGAATGGAAGAGTGGAATTGTCTTAAACTAGAACTCAAATTGGGTGAATTGCTAATGTGCAAATTGTACCAGGTTCACAAACTTTGCATCTGCATAAAACTCTAACACCCAGCATTCTCAAATCCATAAATACAAAACACCAATATGAAAAACAGTACAGAATGGGTCACATAACCAGAGACCAAACAAAACGTTACTCGTCAATCCTAACCAGCCTGATAAGAAGGGCAAAAAAATTGTATTATGAGAACAGATTATCCAACTTACGAGGTGATATAAAAAAGACCTGGAAAACCCTATCAGAAATTCTGGGAACAAAAAAGATATCACGAAATAGCGAAATAAAATTAGCAAAATCAGATGAACCCCAACTCCGCACCAACAGAAACAGCAAACATGACTCAATGATTTCATCTCCACTATAGGACAAAACCTTTGCCCAATAAAATCCCAAGCTTCAGATACCCCACCAATATGACTACCTCACCGCAACTACCCGAACAC